AAGCTAGCATATATTATAAAGCTAAAGAGTTTGTCTGTTTAAATGCGCTTTATGTATATTGATTTTTACATTTTCATTAATGTACATAGTTAGAACATACTAGAAGACCTAGAAGAAAATTTTCAGTGGAGGCCTTCACTCAAGTACCTGTTGTTTTTATTATTATTTTTTTGTTTTTTAATTATTCATCCAAATAACTAATTACTTTATCTATGCTTATTTGAGAATAACCAACTTAAAAAGTAGTGAAACTTACATGTTTATTAGATTTATGATAAATTTCAGTCGCTAATAATTTTAATGGGCCACAATAAACTCCTGACTTTGAATTTAGGAACCTCTCCATGGCATGGTAGGTCTTCCCTGAGTTTGTGGGACCCGCATGAAATATTATTTTTCTATTTATTGCTCTTGCCTCTGGATACCTGTAAAATAAATATAATAATAAAATAAACACATCAATTTAGTACTTATTAAAAATGTTAACGAAATATTTCAAACATTGATCAATAAATACATTGAAAAATATTTTACATTAAATAGTTCTATGATACATTTAATATTCCATTTATCTACCTACATTTAAGAAAGAAAAGAATGTTAGAAAAATGATGATATGCTATTTGACACCAAAAAATCAACAATCCAATCCAAAACAATCTGATATAAAAATCAATTAAACTGTCAACCCTATAAGTTAAAAAAAATAATGTATGTAAGTTGTTATTAAGCAAATTTTTTAAGTCAAAAGTCTAGAGAAGATTAACCTACTTTACAGTAAAGTAATAGGAATATTCTGAAAATAGGAAACATCCCAATGTCCATTGATTGATTAGTCTAATAATAAGTAAAGATGGATATTAGACAGAATTTATATGGCATGGCTCTAAATTATAGCCAAATAATACTGATTTTTATAAATATAAACAAAACATGCTATTTCAATTTCAGATTCTATAGTGACACAGTCTATTGTTTATTTACAAATAATTTGGCAGCAAAACTTTTACTTTCAAATGTCATTCTATCATGCCTTATGCATGACAGAAATGTTCCTAAAAATAGAATATCATTGTCTGACCTTGGCAATGACTTTCATTAAATTAAAAACAAAGAATAACAAAGAAGATAAATATCATATGTTGTTATCAAATACACACACAAAAACAAAAGGAATTCTGTTGAGAAATTGATAACACAACTTTGTATCGGACAGTTAACAAATTAAAGCATTTGAATAGCATCTCTTTCTTGTGAAAAAATATAAATTTCATAACAGATAATTCAGTGCCACCAGTACTGCTTTAACCAATAACTTTAACCAATAACTGGGAACTTGTAGGTCTTACTAATTAATCCAAGATACTTCCAAGTATTTTAGTACAAGCAATTCTAAGATATTTAAGCCTTTGACTGCCAACAGAAAACAGTTGAAAGCAAATCCTCCGCTAACGAAGGTCACTGGTGTTTAATGTGTTAAGTGTAGTTATTTACCAGTTAGCAGGTGTTCTCAAGTCTGATATTTTTTTCAGGTCATCTAAACAGTCTAAGTGAGGAAATGCCAGTCTTGCATGTCTTAGGAAGTATGGAAATAAATCATCCACATGACCAGCACCTATAAATAAAAAATAAAAAAATCTATGAAAGAAGAAAATATATTTCTCATGAGATTCTTATTGGCTAATAATAACTCTCATTGGGATATAATTTGAAATAATTCTTACCTTGTATTATATCACTTATAATTATGTGTAAATCAGGCGGGAGATCATGTTCGAGGCAATGTCTTCTGAATGATAGAAATGCCTGATGCAACAACTGTTCATCTAACCCGTTTTCTGAAGCCAAAACTCTGACCTCTGGTTTCTGGTAGAATTTGTTGAGGATTTTAAGAAGATCCTGCTTCTTCAGACGTCCTGTGATTTCAGCCCCAATGTTTATGTCATCAGGATTAGGTTTTACTGGTACGGGAACAAACAGAGCCGAAGGACCCCTATCGTGTCTCTTCGTTCGTAGAAAAATATAACCTATATTATGACCACCTTTTCGCGTAATCACATTATTCCTAATAATAGGAGGAACACATGGTTGTATTTTATCTGCACAGTGAAGAGATAGTATACGTGTAAATCCTTTATACATTTTGATTATGAAACAAAAAATAAATTGACTAAAAATTTTATATCCTCGGCTGTCATTCCCGTTGATTTGATTTGATATCTTTTTCTTAATTCTCCTTGACAAGTAAATAGATTTTCTCTGATTTAGATACGTGTCTTTTCAGTTTTAACCAATAAATTGGTGCAAATCTATTAAATATTCACCGCCGCCAAACAATATACAGAAAGTATATGAAAAACGAGCAGTTATTACCTACCAAACATCCTACTATCCCATAATATGTGACTGGAAGATAGATCAGTGGGTGACCCCTGCGGCGGGTGACCCGCTCATCCATCGAAAAGATCGAGGGCGTAATTTAACTCCAGTTCAGGCTTAATATTGAGAGAATATTTTATTTTTATTTACTTTGAAATATGGTCTCGATCTTTTGCAAACCAAGCTACTTTGGGCTAGCTTAGTCTCTTTCTATATCTCGATGGGGATGAGATCGGAGAAAGTGCCTCATGCAAGACTAAAACTAAAACTAAAATTTTGCCATTTGCTACGGGATAAACCCAAACAAAAATAAAAATAAAAAAATACAAATCAAACAACCAAAGTTTTTAACAATATCAATTTATTGTTAAAACTACATAAAACAAGGCGTGGGTCCTACGCCTACTTGGTGGCACTGTCACTGATGAGCGTTTACAATAAATAAAAATGTGGGTATATACGAGACGTGGTTGGCGGTGTTGGTGGTGGCCACTTAAGTAAGGGCGAGGCATGAGGATGAGGCGCATGCTGGTGCCGCTATCCCAGTCCGGGTACGACGTGGCGGCTATAGCGCAATGGCACGGGGCCAGGCCCTTGACGCTCGCCATCTCCAGGTTTCCACTACACACGGGGTTTCTCAACTCCGTACAAAGTTCTCAAGTTCGACGGTGCCTTTCAAGTCCGTCCGTGGTTGTTAAGTTCGACGGGGCCTTTCAACTCCGTCCGTGGTTCTTACATTCGACGGGCCTTTCCACACAAACTAAAACTAAAACTAAAACTAAAACTAAAACTAAAACTAAAACTAAAACTAAAACTAAAACTAAAACTAAAACTAAAACTAAAACTAAAACTAAAACTAAAACTAAAACTAAAACTAAAACTAAAACTAAAACTAAAACTAAAACTAAAACTAAAACTAAAACTAAAACTAAAACTAAAACTAAAACTAAAACTAAAACTAAAACTAAAACTAAAACTAAAACTAAAACTAAAACTAAAACTAAAACTAAAACTAAAACTAAAACTAAAACTAAAACTAAAACTAAAACTAAAACTAAAACTAAAACTAAAACTAAAACTAAAACTAAAACTAAAACTAAAACTAAAACTAAAACTAAAACTAAAACTAAAACTAAAACTAAAACTAAAACTAAAACTAAAACTAAAACTAAAACTAAAACTAAAACTAAAACTAAAACTAAAACTAAAACTAAAACTAAAACTAAAACTAAAACTAAAACTAAAACTAAAACTAAAGCTAAAACTATGAAACTATGAAACTATGAAACTATGAAACTATGAAACTATGAAGCTATGAAACTATGAAACTAAAACAATGAAACTAAAACATTATTTTCTCAGCTTTCGGATAGGATAAGAGCGTAAGAGCGTAATAGCATCATTAATTAAATAAAACAACGAAACTATGAAACAATGCATTTATTTTTGCAAGTACGCAAAAAACGCATCCTTACCCTAACACAGATGGTTGGCAGCTTGGCAGTCAACAACTGTGCGATTTACGCGAAACTTTCTGCCCGCACAGCAAAACTTTGAATTGATCTTACGGCGGTATTTTCCGAACTGATGTGACCTTCAAACCTTCAAGAAACGAGTGTACTTATTTCTTCTTAAAAACCTGGAAACGTATCTGTGACTCCCCTGGTGCCGCTGATGTCCATTGGAGGCGCCGTCACTTACTATTAGGTGATCAGTATGCTCGTTTGCCTCCTTTTCCATAAAAATTGTGATGAAGCCGGTTTGTTTGCATATAATATAATAGCACTAGAGATATTAGAAAAAAAAAAACAGTATAAAAAATGGAGAAATTCAGCGTGTTCCGGTGTGATTGTATTTTTTTGTATGCGTTGAATCTAAACTATTCAAACTAATATCCAAAGTAATTCAAACTTCCAAACTAATATTGTAAATGCGAAAGTAACTCTGTTTGTCTTTCAGTCTTTTCGTCACGCCTAAACTACTGAACCTGAATATGAAAAAAACAAAATATGAAATTTGATACAGTGATAGTTTGGAACTCGAGAGAGGACATAGGATAGTTTTTATACCAAAAATCTGCAGGAAGTCATATACTTATAAAAAACTTTGCCGAGCTATTACGCTCTTTATTCTACAAGTAGCCTTAGTCCGGCCCTGTGTAAGAATAATTCATGCGTGTTATATTTTTAAGCGCTTGTTTGGTCTGCTTTGATTTTATAGGTCTGTAAAAACAATTGATAATGCATGAATGCAATTATTTATTTATTTATTTATTAATATTTAAACATTACATTCATCATTACAGGCACACCTAATACGATAAATGTAGTTACATATTATTAGTAAACTTATAACACAATATCCGGGTAATAACCGTAAAATACTTTAGACAAAGAAAAACAAAAGAATTTCTCTATCTATGAGAAATAAAGGCGAGAGTTTAGGCATTTAAATTGAGTTTACAAAACTATTGATCACATGAACATAATGAAGACTTTTAGTTTATAAAATAATCACAATTCATATACTGTAATAAAAATCGTATAGAGTTAACTGAAACATGTAATCTAAGTCAATGGGTCACTCTATTTTTTCATTGCCTTTCCTTTCCTTTTTTCTGTGTCTGTGGTTTTGATTCTGACGTGACGTGAGTGCAGGACGGACACGACGACGACTTGATCGTATTAATTTTCGGCTGCAAAAGCTATCCCGTACGTTGTTCACGTTTCACATGATAGAGTTCACAAAATATACGATAAAAGACCACTATATTCCTGGCATTGTGACTTAGTACACATACTAACAAAATGGGGAAGGCTAAAAAAGGGAAGAAGAACTCGACAGTGGACGAGGGGTAAGTTTCGTCAATGGCATATGTTTTCTATGTTGTTTGCCAATTTTCGACCCGGAAATTCACAATGATTTTCTCATTACAGTGACAGTGATGTAGAAACTACAAATATTGATAACGTTAAGCCGGCGCAGAAGGCAAAAAAGTAAGTGGTTATAGGTTATACTTTCAGTCATTATTCTCGATATTATTTTATTCTCGATATTATTTAATTCTACGCATGTGTATTGGTGGGTTATTTATTTTCACCTTTTAATTGTTATGCGGATACGTGTCTTTACAATGTTTATTTTTTAAAAAATTGTGGTTGGTCAGGCATCTTGTATTTCCTATGAAGTGTATATATTAAACTTTATAATAGAAGCACTAAAAAATCCTCATTAATTTTCATTTAACCAAGTAAAAAGTAATGTGCCGACATTTATTTATAATAACAACTTAAATTGTTATTCAGTTCATATGTTAAACATATACTTAAACCCATATTTAAAAATATCTAAGTGATTAAATTATTTCAAAATATGTTGCAATTAAGTTATGCCTCGTCATTTTCCAGGATTTCAGTGGATTCTGATAGCGAAGATGAGAAGCCTAAACCTAAGGCCAAACATAAGAAGTCGGTAGATGAAGATGTTAAAGAAGTCACAAAAAATATTAAAAATGTCTCAATTTCAAATAAAGGAAATCGTAAGAAGAAGGATGTTAGCAGCGACGAAGGTAACAATATTAAAAATTAAGAATCCAAACTAATATTATAAATGCGAAAGTAACTTTGTCTGTCTGTCTTTTCTTCACTCCTAAACTACTGAAACTATTTGTGCGAAATTTGATACATACATAGTTTGGATCTCAAGTAAGGATATAGGATAGATTTTAACCAAAAATTCGCAGGAAGTCAATATTCCACACGAACAAAGTAGCGAGCAAAAGCTGGTTGTTTTATAAATCTCAGAAATAAATATGTTTCACATTCATATATTTATTTGGTTCAAAAGCTTGAATATACAATTCAAATTCTCATTCTCTCTTATTTATAAGCCAGATATAGTCGGTACAAATATTCAATTTTAATTTCCATCTTGGTTAAATTCAGTTATGTGACTTGTTTGTGCCTGAGTACACCTAGACCACCTCTAACTACAACAGTACATTGACTTAAAGGTTGTCTGGTCAATATTGCTTTTAGCATAGGGATTTGGCCACCTTTGTATCCAATACTATTTTTATAGCTCTCTTGCTATACCCATACAACTTGTGCATTAAAAATTTTATTTTGGATACCTATAAAACATAATAATATTACAACCATTTAATGGAAGTAACATTTTTCACAAACAGAATCAGATGAAGAGGAGCAAAAACCAAAGAAAAATAAAAAGAAAGAGGAAAAGAAGAGTGCGTTTTCTTTATTACAAATTGAGGATGGTGACGATTCTCCACCTGAAGCTCCTCCATCATCAGATGATGAAAAGCCTGCCCCTAAATCTCAAAAGAAACCAGTGCAAGAAAAGAAAGAACCAGCTGGCAAGAAAGGTAAAAAAGGAAGAAGAAATAAGAATGACAGTGATGATGATATAGAAAAAGTATTAGCAGAATTAGAAATGGAATATGCAGGTATAAAGAAGGAACCAACTCCAGCTCCTGAACCGGAAAAAATTGAAGAAGTAGTAGAAGAAAAAGCTAAAACTAAAAAGAAAGGCAAAAAGGATGAACCCAAACCAGAGCCAGAAAAGGAGGATGACAAAGAAGGTAGTGACAATGAAAATGATGTCACCATAAAGACAGCAGCGCAAAAGAAAAAAGAGAAAAAAGAAAGGGAAAAGTTGAAAAAGCTAGAAGCAAAAAAGAAAGAGAAGGAACAAGATGGTAAAAAAGAACCTGGTGAGCCTAAGCCTAAAGCTGCTGAAGTTCAAAGTAAACCTGAAGAAGAAGCTAAGGAAACACCTGCTGCCAAGGAGCCATCAGAAGAAAAAGATGCAGAAGGTGATACCCCTGCTGAAGGAAAGAAGAAGAAGAAGAAAGGTGAAAAAGCTGAAAAGGAAGATAAAGGAAAGAAAGGCCCCACTAAAAAGACCATTGCTGCTATGCAGGAAGCTCTTAAAAAGGTGCAAGAAGAGGAAGAACGACTTAAAAGAGAAGAGGAAGAAAGGATAAGGCAGGAAGAGGAGCGTGAAAGACAAAGACTGGAAGCTATAAGATTAGAAAAGGAAAAGAAAGAAAGGAAAAAGCAGAAAGAAAAGGAGAGAAAAGAAAGATTAAAGGCTGAAGGAAAGTTATTGACTCCTAAGCAGAAGGCTGAGAAAGCGAGAGCTCAAGCTATGTTGGAGTCTCTTAAGGCTCAGGGTATAGAAGTTGGTTCTGCTGAGAAGAAACCACTTAGGCCTGGAACTAGAGTTAAGCCTGGCAAGTTGAAAACTCAGATGTCACAGGAAGCTCCAGCTACACCTGCAGAAGAGAAAAAAACAGAATTAAAGGCTGAAGAAAAGGATAAGAAGGTAAGATAGACAATCTATACTTTTTTTTATGGTATAGGAGGCAAACGAGCAGACGGATCACCTGATGGTAAGCGATCGCCACCGCCCATGGACACCTGCAACACCAGAGGAGCCACAAGTGCGTTGCCGGCGTTTTAAGAAGGAGTATGCTTGTTTCTTGGAACGAACTTCAAACGTTCGGAAATACCCCTGCCGGAAGATCATACGAAAGTTTTGCTGTGTGGGGCAGAAAGTTACGCGTGAATCGCATAGTTGTTGACTGCCAACCATTTATGAGATGGGGATGAAAATCTTTTCGCGTGGAACAATGCCGAAAAGATGCAGTAGGGATCAAACCGGACTATTCCCACCTACCTATTTTATCCACATTAAATGAGTTAAAAGTATATATTCTTATGATAATTATAGATGAATTTGATCTCAGTTTATGCTGTCAAACAGAATGTTAAGTTTACAAATTTTATTTTCAAGTGTGAACCTACAATTCCTAATCTTTATGTAGTAAGTCTCTGATTAAATTGTACTGATACAATTTATTAGTAAATAGATATGTGTAACTGATATTAAGTATATCTAATATACCTTATCTTGTTTTAATTCAAATTCCATCAATTAGGTACTCTAAGTTCAAGGCTTTTATATATTTTGGTCATTATCATTAGCAAAGTACTTGAAAGTTCGCCTGCAGAGCAGGGGCCCAAATCATTGTTATGTACATTTGATTTTTGAAATTATAAGTAAAATCTCAGCTGAAGCTGGGGTTTTGGGCTTTTGGGTCAAGTTCAATAGTTTTTTTCAGAAGAAACAGGGTGGTTTTTAGTCAGTAAGAGTTTGACATTCCCTCTCACCCCACACAGGGCAAAAGGGGGGAGAACTTACCTCCTCAAAAAAAATAAAAACTGTTTTTCTGCCTGTTGTGTACCATTGGCAGCACTATGTGATGAAATTTGAATGTTGTACTACCAATTTTGAAAACACAGGCAAAAATAGTTTCATAAACTTTTTCTAGGAGGAATCTCCGAAAATTGAGGAGAAGAAAGAATCTGATACAGAATCAGTGAAAGATGCTTGGGATGCGGAGTCTTCGGAAGAGGAGGCGGAACCCGAGAAGCCAGAGACACCACAGACTCCTGCCAAGGAGCAGAAATCTACACCTGCGTCTGCTAAGGAGGTATGTATGAGAATCATTTTATGAAGTCAGATTCTAATGAAGCAAGAAATTACTTTCTTTAAATTTCATATGGTTTCAGCCATGTACAATATTTTTTACTTCAGTTAAACAAGTATATATATTTTTTTATTTTAGAATGAAAACGTTGGTCCACATTAGGATTTTCTTGTGTCATGTGGTGACAAACATATATATTCCCATACACGCCACACCCAGACCCAAAACAACAATTTGTAGAACGCACAAAGTGTTGTTCCGTGCTGGAATCGAACCCGCGACACGTTGCACAGCATTCAGTCGCCCAGGCACTGCGCTAACCATGCACTCCGTTATTACTAACCACACTAGAATTTTCAACTTTATGGTTTCCCAAGCCCATTACAGCATGGTAGACCAGCATTATTCCGGGATTAAAACTATGAAGAATACAACAACTATGTAGTCCAATACTGTTTACCTCAAAAACTTTGCCCCACTTTAGGATTTTCTCCTATGTCATTGGTGTATTTACTACAAACATGTATAATTTCACATACACACCATCTACATCCGGCACAACAATTTGTCGACCACACAAATAATTGTTCGAATTGTGCAGTCGAAACTAACTTGAATAAACTTTCAGAAAGTGGAAGAAGAAGAGAGTTCTGAAGAAGATGATGATAGCTCAGAAGAGGACAGCAGTTCTGAGGAGGACTCGGAAGATGATGACGGCATGACGGATGCTCAGAAGAAGAGGGAAGTTGTATTGAAAAGATTAGAGGTGAGTTATAGATTTTTTAATCTCAATTTTTAATTAAGAGCTTATTTTTCAATAGTCAGATAAATGGTATCTGAGGAATAAAATTGTTGCTTTCACTGTCTTATACAAACATTCTGACGCGACAGTATTATAATTATTCCATTATTCCCCAGATAACTTTTATCTAACCATTGAAAAATCAGCCCTAAAAGGAGATTCCATAATAAAAGATTCTTAATTCAAGGAAAATACTTTATAATTTGTCTTTTTGACAGTTAATTCATTATTTTTGGAGCAAGTATTTATTTCGTTCATTAAATAACTAATTTAATTGAACCAGTTTATTGCTTTAATCTTAAGTCAATGTCTCCTTACCAGCCTTTAACTATACTTATAAAAAAGAAAGATTTCATTGTTTGTTTGAAATGAATTAAACTCCGAAAATACTTGACTAATTTAAAAAATCGTTCATTTTTGGGATGCTACGCTATCCCCGGTGAATATAGACTTAACTACGAGAGTGTCACGTGGCTCGGTCAGTCTATTAAATATGTAAAGATTAAGAAAATCTGTGAATTAATAAATGTTAATCAAAGACTGTTTTAATATTACAAATATAAAGCAATGTGTGACTGTCTATCTCGTAATATGTTGATCATTAGCAGGGCTAGTGTCTTTTACACAAAATATAATAATTGCGATATAATAATAAAACTTTTTTATTGTCTTTTTAGAAACGTCGCCAAGAAAACGAAGCGAATAAAACGAACAACCCACTTCGCGCCGCCGTCGTTTGTGTGTTGGGTCACGTAGATACGGGCAAGACTAAGATCCTTGACAAGCTGCGCCGTACTAACGTACAGGATGGTGAAGCCGGCGGTATCACCCAGCAGATTGGAGCCACCAACGTCCCTATCGAGAATATTAAGGAGCAAACTAAACATGTTAAAGGGGTAAGTTTTTAATAATCTTCTTGTGTCGAACACGAATCCCGGATTGACTCGAAACTAGAAGAGCTTTCCTCGATTTTGTTTATATAAGTAATAGAAGAATATGTTATATAAAAATCTTTAGGTGCTTAATACTTTTATGTTGGCTAATATACCTGGTCTATAGTCCTCTGTGGGCCATGACAGACCTTAGAGCTATGAAGTCTGAGTAAGACAAGTGAATGAAGTTTCGGTATGAACACTATGGGTGTTCTACTAATATTTACGAAGGGATACAAGTAACGTAAAACTCGTGTATTATAATTTGCCTTCAGATTAATTGAAAATTAGGTACTGCCGCGCGATTTCACCCGTTGTTTGGGTTCTATTGGTCGTAGGGTTATGTTTTATAGACTATAGCACTCGGAAACCACGTAGCTATGTATCAGTGAAAGAATTTTGGAAATCCGACCAGCCGTTCCAAAGATTACCCATTACATACAAACTTATATTATAATATTGGTGTAGGTGTAACTAACAGAATTCTTTTGTTTTCTTACAGGTGAATGAGATAGCATTCAAGTTGCCAGGTCTTCTCATCATCGACACTCCTGGCCACGAGTCCTTCAGTAACTTGAGGAATAGAGGGTCTTCACTTTGTGATATTGCTATTCTTGTAAGTATATTTTTTTGTCTTTGTTTCACTAGCACGCTTTCACTTGTGAAGGTCGCAGCGTAATATTTTATAGTGTACTAGCTACTCTCGCGCGGTTTCACCCGCTGCTCGGCTACATTTGATCGTAGTGTGATGTTTTATAGCCTATAGCACTCGGGAAAATTGTTGCTAAAGAATTATGGCAATCCGACCAGCGGGTCCAGAGATTACCCCCTACATGTACGCCCTACATGCAAATTTACAAACTTAAAAATTTTACCTCTTTATAATAGTAGTATAGACTGACCTTTTTCGATTAATAGACTATCCAAAACAAATGTAATGTATAAATTCCAATCAGTAGTTTTTTAATCTCTCGGGAATGTTATGAAATACTTGTTAGTCCATTATTAACAAACCAAACAGACAATTTCTTTAATAATAATTTCTTCAGACCTTGATATCATCATTAGCAGCCTGTTTCCGTTCATTGGATATAAGCCATTTAAAGGGTCTAATACTGCTATGGTATTTTGGAGGGATGAGAGAACATGTTCACAGTTTCTCATCCTCCAATAAAAGGAAGGATCCTTTGACCAGATGGATGTTGTGACTGATAGGCGACCCGTCGATTTTTGTCTGGATTTTATACCTGTTTTATTTGCGTCGATAGCTGTCATACCGTGATGTAGAATATTGAATGTGATTGGTGCTGTTGCTGCCTCTTGTGCGGTAGTTAGCGCTATAATATATTTTTAATAACCTGATTTCTTTCAAATACAGGTAGTCGATATAATGCACGGTTTGGAGCCGCAGACTATCGAGTCTATAAACCTCCTTAAAACAAAGAAGACGCCGTTCATAGTGGCTCTAAACAAGATAGATCGTCTGTACGACTGGCAGAGTGCCCAGCGTAAGGATGTAAGGGATATCTTGAAGATGCAGCAACCCAACACACAATTGGAGTTTGAAAAGAGGAGCAAGGATGTCATGCTGCAGTTTGCTGAACAGGTAAATGGATAATGGATATTTTAGAGGATAAATGTACCTTATATTTCATTTGTCAGTAGCATTTTTCAGCTCAATATTACCTACTAGCTACTATCGAGCGATTTCACCCGCCGCTTGGCTCCATTTGATCGTAGCGTGATGTTTTATAGCCTATAGCACTCAGGAACATTGTAGCTATTTATCAGTGGAAGGAATTTTGGAAATCCGACCAGCGCTTCCAAAGATTATCCCTTACATACAAAATTGCAAATTTTATCTCTTTATAATATTATTATAGTTTAGATTTAATAAAACAATAGTCTTCATTTTTTTTCTTTTATATTTTTTTATGAGTATGTCCACTTTAGGTTTTAATATAAAGTATTAACACTGTAAAAGTCAAAATTAAAGCATGGTATGCTATTGGTAACCTACTCCGTGTTAGAAGAAACCTTTGGTCAGTTGCTGGCTTGTGATGTGATACCTTAGTTAACACCTACATTTTTCAATTTGGTGCTATAATGTAGGCAAAGTATGTGTGTACTTCTCATTGCACAAAGACCGTTCGTAGTCTTCTTGGACCTTTACAACAGCTATCCATACCAAATCCAAAAACATACTTACGTATTACGTACACATGTGTATATTGTCTCGACTGTCTCCCATTGGAGGTGACAGAGACAATGGAAGACGAATTGCAATGTTATACATTATTCTTTCATTTCACCTACACCAATATATTAATGCATCTTCAATGATATAAGCGCTTTTAACCTTTTAATAGTGATAATTCGAGACACAATAGTAAGACGATGGGTGCGCGAACGCCGGCGTTCACTTTGGGTTTCGTGAATTGACCCAAAAATCATCATCATCAGCATTTAAGTGCCCTAGCTAAGCAAAGGCTTCTTCCCACACAGAAAAGGTTTGAGTAGTAATCACCACGCTTGCTCAGGGCGAAGGCGGACCTTCCCACCACCACATCACCCAAAAATACACAAAATAAAAACACAATTTAACATTTTTAAACAACATTTCTCCTCAGGGTCTCAACGCAGCGCTGTTCTACGAGAACCCTGACCCTCGTACTTACGTGTCCTTAGTCCCTACGTCTGCGGTGACAGGCGAAGGTATGGGCAACCTGCTGGCAATGATCGTGCAGGCCTGCGAAGGTCCTCTGCATAAGAGACTTGTGTTCTCTCAACAATTACTGGCTACTGTGCTTGAGGTATGTATATTGTGTTCTTCATTTAAGTAATTTTATACTGTACTATTATCTTTTCACTTTTTATTTTAGACACACTTTATTTCTCCTAGTGTCTTTTTAACATATTCATTACTGATTTTTTTTTATTTAAACTAACGGCCCGCCGCCGCTTCGCACGAGTTCAACTATCTCGCTATCAAAGGGTCACTTTTCCCCAATCTCCCTTCTAATTTTCTAATATTTTCTTCGATAAGAACCTTCTCCTGACAATAAAAACACAACGACAAAAAAGAATTAGCAAAATTGGTCCAGGCGTTGTTGAGTTATGCGTGTGTTAGATAATTATATACGGGATGAGTAAAAATAATAAACGGACAAAGAATTAAACAATTTATTAAAGATTAGGAATAGCTATTTACTGGTGTGTGTAATAATATTCGTAATTATTTTATAAGACAGATGAGTCTAGCAATTTATTAATTTTATAAGCATAACAAAGACTAAAGGAACGTTATAGGTAACAAATTAAGGCACATTACACAAACATATATCATAGACCATACATTGTGGATACATGGTTACACAGGTACATAAAACATATTTAGTACATAAACAAATATATTAGGAAATTACAAAGTATAACATAGAGGTACTTAACTGGTCCGCTCAGTGTGGCTACTCTGAAGCGAATGAGCCGAGTATGACCGGGCAGTGGTTTTAATGTTCAATCGTAAGGAAATGACGTCACATCGTATGATTCATTTACAAAGTTAATATTCGTTTTTATTATAAACTATGATTGTAATTATAAAAATATGTTGAAAATAATTATTCAATTGTATATTTGACCCTATAATGGCATAATCAATAATCCAGTAAAATAACCATTTTGTAATTAACAGTTAAATATGTAATATACACAAAGCAACAATGAAAAGACTTTCTTTCGTTATATTTCGATAAGGAACTATTAAATGATGTACATCACATGTAACAAGGTTATAATTATCGTCTGAATGGCTTTATTTATGTTCAATTATGTAAATTTACGTGATTTGATGTAATGAACAAACTGAAATAATTGGAATAATCTATCACGTGCATATTAGATTCAAGTATCAAAAATTAAGTTGTTTTTTGCTTTTAAAAACTTTGTATGTCTTGCTAAAATGTTAGGAAAGGAATATAAAATACATTCCATTTGGTACAGCTGTTCTTGAGTTTGCGTATACATATTTTAATACTTTAATACCTATGATCTCATATACTTTGTGAACTCGTCACAGAGTAACTGAAACATAGTGTTTTTCCAAAGATGTAATGTTCTTTGCTCAAAACAAATAAAATATCTTTAAAAGTCCTGTTCTAACCATAGATATTGCCTTTACAACACAAGTTATATAGATGTCTTAATTTTTTTTTTACTTTTACAGGTGAAAGCCATTCCCGGTTTGGGTACGACTATAGATACAATTCTGATCAATGGAACATTGCATGAAGGTGATACTATGGTACTAGCCGGTACCGATGGGCCAATCGTCACGCAGATACGATCACTGCTTATGCCCCAACCTATGAAGGAACTGCGTGTCAAGGTGAGAGATTTATTTGATTTTATATAATAAAGTAATTTTATATAAAAAATAAGTAGGTAATGGATGTTATTATAGATATAAATCTTTTTCCTTAATCACTCTACCTATTATAAAAAAACCGTTTTAAAATCTGTTGCGTAGTTTTAAAGACAAGCAGGATATAGGGACAGAAAAAGCGACTATAGTTTTAATACGTTTTAAAAGAATAAGGAAGGATAGAAACAGACTTTATCTTAATAAAACTTTTAGATAATCATAATATATGCAATATTAAACCTTCTATCTTACGCAATATGGACGGATTTAGTGCACAACATGTTAAAAAGAAATTAGATCACGTATAACTAACAGAAAACCTGTAACATCAATTAGTGGTTTTGCCGTGTGAGTTTGGTTACTGGAGCACCTTTTAAATGTTCAGTGACGTTCTTGTAAATCGTAATATTCAGATGTTCAGCAACACAGAATATTTACCATTGAGTAATAGTTGTTTGTTTGCCCCACTTTCCCATGCAAGCTATATAGCAAAATCTCACAACTTAATTTGTTTTTAGAACGCCTACATCGAGCACAAAGAAGTAGTGGGTGCTCAGGGAGTAAAGATCGCGGCTAAGGAGTTAGAAAAGGCAATCGCTGGTCTGAATCTGCTGGTCGCTCAGAAACCTGATGAAGTTGATGTTCTCAAGTAAGTTATACCAATATATCACGTTATAATAGTGAATGTAATGTATCTATAATATATGAGACACAATAGAAAACACACTGTGTCTCGCGCTCTCTCTAGACCTGCGCTCCGGCGGATGTGTGTGTGTGATATACAATCACAAATATACAATACACACAAAGTATACTAAAACTCCTCTGGTTTGGTGGTTATTTAAAGCTAGTACTGATCATTTACGATCAAGTTATCTTTTTGCTTGTCTCTCTTATTATTTGTAACTTGATGCTCTTGATAAATGTCGTTTATTGTGCTGAAAGTTTTAAAAATCTCAGGCACTTATGTATTAACTAACCATGCACAACATAATATTTTTTAAATCGACAGAGAGGAAGTGGCTCGCGAGCTCAAGTCGGCCTTGTCTTCGATCAAGCTGTCGGAGCGTGGAGTGTACGTGCAGGCCTCCACCCTGGGCTCCTTGGAGGCCTTGCTCGAGTTCCTCAGGACTAGCAATATTCCTGTAAGTACATAATTTTGTAAATACTTCGTCGGCGTAATCATAGTATGTGCAACCGTAAGGTTGATCCCAAGGACGATTTATTTTATTTATTTATTTAGGTTAGCTAACAATTGTTTACACTGTTACTTATACAACTAAGGGCTGATTTTTCAATGGTTAGATAAAAGTTACCTTTGGAATAATTATGATGCTCTCTCGTTAGAATGTATAAGACGGAGACAACAACAATTTTATTTCTCAGATAACATTTATCTGACTATTGAAAAATAAGCCCTAAATATCACAAAAAAGAAAAAAACATACAAGTGCAATAATACTTATAGGCCACATCCATTAATACTACTATCTTACGGCTGATAATATTTTATTGCTTCAGTTTATGCAATTTTCGACCCTACCCGTAATTTGTGGATTATGGCTTGAAACGACGAAACATGAATGATTCACAAAATTATTGACTTGATAAACAGGTAAGGTATACTTACGAAATCGTGTTGTTTCAGTATTCTGCCATCAGGATAGGACCGGTGGTGAAGCGTGACGTCATGAAGGCGTCCGCCATGTTGGAGCACGACTCCCAGTACGCCACTATATTGGCGTTCGATGTTAAGGTATACTAAACTTTATATGTAAATAAAATCTCCTATGCCCTTTAAACTTTAGTTTACTTACTGACTCAGAAGCCTACTTACTAATTAGTAGGATTTTGGCATCTGAATAAGGCATTCAAATTTGGTAAATATCGTCTGCATTGACTTATTTAAAACTAGCTACTTTCGCGCGATTTCACCCACTGCTCGGCTCCTAAACATCATAGCGTGATTTTGTATAGCTTAAAGCCTTCCTCGATAAATAATATATTCAGCAATTTTTTCAATTCGAACCAGTAGTTCCTGAGATTAGCGCGTTCAAACAAACAAACTCTTCAGCTTTATAATATTAGAAGTATAATTTAGCTTTATAATATTAGAAGTAAATATAAAATCATTAGGAGTATATATTTTTAGTGTTATTCTAATCTGCATTATACCCCCAGATTGAACGTGATGCTCAAGAGATGGCTGACCAGTTGGGCGTGAAGATATTCGCAGCAGACATCATTTATCACTTGTTCGATAAGTTCACGGCGTACCGCGAGGAACTCAAGCAGAGGAAGAGGGAAGAATTCAAACATATCGCCGTGTTCCCCTGCAAGCTTAAGGTTATTTTTTGTCTTATTTATTTTATTTGAGTTAGAAAGAGATGAAAAATGTCAAGATTGATGTGTGTTGGTGCATCTTCCTATTAGCGATTTGAAGTTATTAAGCATTCAAGAAAAATTAACATATACAATGTAGGTCGGCAAACGAGCAGACGGATTACCTGATGGTAAGCAATCAGCGTCGCCCATGGACTTTCGTAATATTAAAGGAGTCACTACAAGTTGTCTTTGTAAGTTATTAGAGTTACCCTTAAGATTGGGGATTTTAAGATTAAGAATGGGGGAGGGAGGAAGAATTGGGACTCCGGTAACCTCACTCACACGGCAAAACACAACATATGTGTTACTTCACGCCGGTTTTCTGTGAGGCCGTGGTATCACTCCGGTCGAGTCGGCCCATTCGTGCCGTAGCATGGCTCTCCCATACTTATATAATGTGTGAAATTCATGTTTATAAGTTGTTTTTTGTTAACAGGTACTCCCGCAATTCGTATTCAACTCTCGTGACCCAATCGTCATGGGTGTGATGGTAGAAGCTGGCATCGTGAAGGAAGGAACACCTATCTGTGTGCCTAGCCAAGAAGTGAGTAACATATTCTAGTATCTAGTGTTATAAGACTGAATTAAATGGTCCTTTGATGTGTACTAAAACTGAGAAAAAGAATATCTAAAGTTTTGTGATGAGTAAAATAAATGTGATTCCCAAACTCTTTGTCAAGTGTGGAAAATATGGATACACTCAGCTGGAGTTTCGGGTCAACAGCAATAATGTAGGGTTTCAGTCAGTTAGTCTGACACGTCCGACCCACCAAGAGTTCGAGAAGGGTTTAGATGCTTTTCCACCCACAACAAAAACACCCCTATGAGAATGGATTCGTTGAGCACTAGTTATAGCTTGAATTGAAAGAATCTGGCGTGTCTACTGATTAGATCTGGATTATAATAGAAATCAAATTATTGTCCAAGCAAAGTACTAAATAATTTCAAAATCTTAGTCTATGGTTAGCTTTTAAAGTAACATCCCCTTTTCTACAATATTGTGTACTACACTCCTGCGCACTTTCACTCGCAGTTCGGCTGCTTATGTTTTATAGCCCTTCTCGATAAATGGACTATCCAATACAAAAACACTTTGAACCACTGATTCCGGACTATAGCTTATTAGCCGTAGTTGAAACAAGCAAACTCTTAAGCTCTATAATAGTGTTAAAATAAATTAAAAAAATAAGGAGATATAACACGTTACAAGTACTAATGAAATCTTATCTCCAACAGTTTGTGGAGCTGGGCATAGTGACATCTATCGAGGTGAACCACAAGCAAGTGGAGACGGCTCGTAAGGGACAAGAGGTTTGCATCAAGATCGAGCCCATCCCCGGCGAGTCGCCCAAGATGTTCGGCAGACATTTCGATGAGACTGATATGCTAGTCAGCAAGGTAAGGGTGCATAATTACTATCGAGTTTAGAGACGGAACAATAGTAGCTAGGAAAATTACTACTGCGCATCGTTCCGCTAACTTAATTGGGTACTTACCAAATGTAAAATAGATATAACCTTCAAACCTTCAAGAAACGAGCGCCCTCCTTCCTAAAAGGCCGACAACGTGCCTGTGAGTCCTCTGGTGCCGCAGGTGTCCTTGGGCGGCGGCGATCACTTACCATCAGGTGATCCGTCTGACCGTTTACCTCCTATTCCACAAAAAATGCCTAGTGTGAGTTTGCGTTACGTTAGTAAAATCGCCATGCTCGATTCAATAATTGGATTATCTTTCTTCATATAATTCAAAATTATTGTCACCTTCGCTGTTTTTTTGCTCCTAAGGAGTATTATGATACGGTTCGAGTTTCATTAGGCTTCTTAGTTCTGAAAGGTAATTTGTAAATTGTTTTCTCCTACCCTCTACTTTTGTTATATTGTAGTATAATTCTTAATGTATTTTTATTTTTACCTCTATTTTTATTATTGTTCGTTTTGTGTCTTATGCGTCCCAGACGCGAATAAATACTTTTTGTTTGTTTGTTTGTTAGCTGTCAGTTAAGTCGGAAAGTCAAATCATTTACTTCAAATTAGGCCATTAGCACATAAGCTCTTTCCAACGTCAAACAAACCTTCATATGTAAAAAAAGGCAACTTGAAAAAGTCAAACGTAATTTATTAAAAACAGAACAGTGTTACGAACAACGAATCCTTCGACAAAGAGTTTCATTCAATCTATTAAAATTCATGTTCTTTATGACGTTACGGAAAACAAACAAATGTGGTAAATATTTGATCTAGGTGACATGGTGTGATTCCTAAGAGATATACAATATACGTAAATATTCTTTATAAGTACCTCTTTTACGTCAATACGAGCAAATAGGTACCAAATGATTCACAATAAGGAAGTCAACAGTATTTTCCAGAAGCGTTGTCAATCAGAATTACAACAGAATCAATGAATCAACGTACCTTCGATAGTTTTATCGTTGCGAAATATTTATTACGGCAGTATGTGAACGAACGCCGGTGATGAATGAAAATTGCGTCAATAGTTTTTGTCTTAAATAATAGATGGCGTTGCGGTCGCGGTTTCCACGTAGCGTATTATCATTCAACTTTCTAGCGGTTTGTGATGAGGTTTGGACTATTACCAACTATTTTATGGGTATGTCTGTTTTGGCACCCAATGCTAGGGAACACCATCTTTCCCTTTATTTTCGCTGGCAACCTAATTTCGGCGTTGATGTAACTTGTTTAAGTTTTAAAATGGATTTTAAACTTCGATTTTGTTAGCAGATGTTTTATTATTATGGATGATCTTAATATTGAGATTCGTAAACATTAATAATCCAGCAATAATTCGTAAAAACAGTTCAGATCTTATCAAAGAGATACATTCCACTTGAATTCGTCAATTAGACAATTTGTACTGAAAATATTTTTAAACGTCCTTTTGGTCAAATGGGTCACCCCAAAGTCGTTTTGTTCGCATAATTTGATTGTTTAATTCGAACATAAGTTTTTGCACAAATTATTACACAGACGTCAATCACCACGGGCACTTTGAAGAGCAAAAAGTAGGTCTTATAAAAAAAAAAAGTCTCAAACTGTCTTGATGAATGAATAACTAGATTATGTTATCAAATAAGTAAGTATCGACAAGGTAATAATATCTACAAGTATTTCAACTTCATAGAAACGGCCGAAACGCGAACTATACCTACGCGCCCGATGTCGGGACGCGCTCGGGACGCAGACAGACGCGGCTGTACCGCAGTGACGAACGGACGGTGTGTTGTCTTTTATTTAGAAATCAGCTCGAGTACATTATTTAATATGACGAATAGGAAATATTGTGCTGTTATTATGTTTGGTTGCATGAATTCGACAATAACGCATCCAGACATAAGTTTTTTTTAAATTACCTGGAAACTCTGAAAGGTAAGACTATAAAATAATTTTACTTACTAGTAGCCTAGGTAGGTACATAATGTGTGTCTTTATGGATCATTATTTCCAGTTATCTCACGAAAACAGATGTTTGAATTTATAAATAATATGAATAAAGTTAGGCGGTTCTGGTTCAGAATGAATCATGATACGTTAGGTACCTACCTACTTACGCTTGTGTTAAAACGGTTCATGTATGTTTTGTTATTTTGTATAATTCAAAGTAGAGAGTGTGGTATTTTATTATTAATAATATTTGTTTATTATCTGCGTTTATGAATAATACTAGAAAATATTTAATAACAACAATAAAACAGCTAGACTCATGTAATATTTTGATGTTTGAGGGTTGTGATTTTAGAACATTCGTAGTCAGCTGTTCAGTTCGGCATTAGTGGCCAAAGAAATTTTGTTTGTTTATTTTTAAAGCACTTTATTTGTTTATATAAAAAAACGATATTTACAATCACAAAACTAAATGGAAACAGAAAGTAGACAAAGGTAATTAAAATACTGGAGACGAGCAGCCCTAACGCATGTTTACGTACCGCGCGGCTGTAGGTATTTATTTCTTTCAAGCGGCCGAGTTAAAATACTGTATGATATTTATACTGTGGTATCGATTTAACTCAATAAACGACCATTCGTTGAAATAGTCACTCGATCTAAAACCCGGAATGGATTTAGAAAGTCTTAGTCGTAAAGGACAATGGAGAGCCTATTATAACTACAAATCGATGTCGCCAATTGATTAATCTGTTGGCACTTGGTAGACACCCAAGGCAAACTACAGACGGGCGGCAGAAACCGCAACCTCCTTACTCTTAAACGAAGCGCATTCGATAATATTTTGATGTGGTTTCCGAGAAACTGATAAAACAACAAAGTGCTAGAGGAATTCTTATGAATCAGCCCATACTAACAAAAGAACACAATAAATATTTTGAAAGTAACACAATAACCTACAACGCGATTCCGATCTAGATTCTAAAACACTTAACAAAAAAAAAGTTTATATCTGATATTGCAATGAAAATAAACAATACATTTCACATGACGTGCGAATGTTTTATAGATATTACGAATTCTTTTAACACTCGTAGATCAATCGACGAAACCACCTACATACGTTGGATTGGCGATTGAACAAGCCGTCCGTGTGTGCCGGCTTATATGTCACGGATGACGCTTTAATGAATGGGCTTCGCATTGCACAAGATATCGGGGACCATTTTAGCTCTATAGACAAATGGCACCGATTGATACGGCTATTATTAGAACGCATTGCAGTCGATACAGAGGATTATTTACCTGGGTAATTCATGCGGTGTGCTCTGGGTTGATGATGCTAGCTAGAATTACACACATTTATTTATTTGTTATATACAGTTATTGTTGATGAAAAATAGATTCATAGCCGTCAATCCTCTGCTATATTATGACCATTTTTCAATATCTTAGTTCATTCTTGTTTTCTTGTTGGTTGTAAGCTAAAAGTATCCTATCTACCCACAAACTCTTACCCACATTTGGAAGTTTATTCATATCGATGCTCCACATTCGCTAATGGCCCTCTCTTGGAAGTGATAAATTTTTTAATAATTTTTCCCATAACGATTATCTTTTAAACACTTCAATTTATGAGCGATTAGGTTTTCCTTAACGCTTTTGAGATGATTCATTCATGAATTCCATGATAATATCATTCTCAGAAAAGTTTAACTTTCAGACATCAGTAATAATATTCATGATATCATAAAGATGTGGTCTTATAAACCTACTATTTTGCTGATATTTTCCTTTAAAACCACATAGTGGTGGACTAACAGAAATTGAATAAATATACTAGATATGTAAACGTATATCGTATTCTGGCGATGGCTCCCTGGCTCGTGTTGAGTACAAATATTTGTATTCTAGACGAGAACGGAAGCGTCTTGTCGACTCGTCATTGTGTACGTTTTGTTGCATTTCGGCAACATTGTATCAACTATTGATAGTAATGCATAAACAGAAGCTGCATCGGCCACTGCCAATCTAGCGCGTACACGGTACTGGCAACAGCATACATTATGAACGAAAATCATGTATACTAAACCAGCCGTTTACATGTTTCTTGGGAAATAAAAACAAGCATCAAGTGCATCGTCTGAATATTGAACAAAACGAAAAACTACGGTGGCCGCGGTAAGCGTGCGAAAACTATTCTCTTTAAATTCATTTTCGAATATTAAAAAGGTTAATTGATGTTCATTTACCTTTCAATGACCAAGCTTTACGATTTACTTGAATTTATGATGGCAACACCGAATACGTTACTATTGCTAATAGTGGTTGTAAGCGGTTCCCACTGACTTTGTATCGGATCGATTCTAGTCGTGTTGTGAACGTGAACGATACATACATACTATTACATATATAATTTGGTACCGTGTGACACAGTAATTAAATGGCTCCAGTAGAATACCTAAGTCTGCATGTAGATAAACTTATCAATCCGTAATGTGACAAACATTAGTATTCATTTATCAGTGCCCATTCAGTTAGAAAATAGGAGTCTATTTATTCTCGTATCATTATGTTCATAGCATCGACCTTTCTAACCGATACGATGTATATTCTAAACTCGTACGCCGTTCTGCACGACGATTTCAACAAAATGCGTCGACGTGCATTTTGTGAATATGTATGTATGTGTGAGTGCGTATCACATTATATTTGTGCTATAACTAACCGCGGCGGGCCAAAACTGACGTAAAGAAAACTCATTGAAGGATTTTCATTCATACCTAGTAAAGCATTGTATCAATGCAAGCAGAAGGTTAGTATCAATGGTGAAGGGGGCTCGCGGCTCCATTGATCGGCTGCAGTGGGGGCGGTCGGAGGGGATGCTAGGTCACTATGTCGAGGGGAGCCGACACGCCAGGGGAAACAAGGGTATAGCTGCAGTTATATCGCTGATATCTTTTATATACGAGCGGACTGTTGCTAAGCTCGGTCTCACGCCAGATATTCCAAGTTTGTTTATGATTACATTTTTCTCGCTTCTTTACTTTTTTACAAGAATTAAATTATACAACGTGTCAGAAAACGTTCTGTGACATGAAACACAGCTTTTAAAACAAATGGTTGGTTTAATATTAGGCGATCACGAGATTAATATTGTAACCTAATTTTCTAGGTTGCTTACCTTGAATTGGGGTTAGGTTACGTCCAAAACGGAAACATTTTTCATACCTACTTAGTATCTTTTAGGAATATGTTCATACACATGTCGAGTTTAGAGCCAAAGAGACATTGGTCAGGGCGAAATTGGAGTTACTCGAATCAATGGCAACTGCTGCTTAGTTGCTGAATATGAGCCAGACGAGCTAAGAACATTTTTTTTTTATGTGATACGACGGCAAACGAGCAGACGGATTACCTGATGGTAAGCAATCGTCGCCCATAGACACCCGCAACAAAGAAGGAATTACGAGTGCGTTGCCGACCTTTTAAGGATTGGGATTTTGGGATTGGCAAGGGATTGGGGTAGGGGAAGGATTGGGCCTCCGATAACCTCACTCACACGGCGAAACACAACGTTGTGGTTGTTTCACGCCGGTTTTCTGTGAGGCCGTAGTATCACTCCGGCCGAGCCGACCCATTCGTGCCGATGCATGGCTCTCCCACACTTCACATCACATTAATTGGAATAAACGACACACTGCAAAATATTGCCTAACTTATCTATTGTTTCGTGTAGAAGCAGTATAATGTTACCATATCCCAATAATTGTTGGAGCAATGAAATCTTCTCAAGTTTCCTTGAATATACTCGCGTCAGTTCACTTTGGAACCTCTAAACACTATATAAAAAGCTTCCTGTTTTGTTTTCGTTCAGTGGAAAACATCAATCTTTCCTTTGCACAATATAAAAGCACTCAATGTGAACTCGACGATTTTCCGTCACCCGAGCGAAGGCCGGAGTATTTTTGGACACTTATGACGTCACAGTTTTTCATATCTCTGATCTCTTGACCACTTGTATGAATTGAATCACTTTGATTGTCAAACCACTTTCCCTCGCTTTTGTAAAGTTATTACCGTAAGTTAATGTTTCATTTATGACCAACACAGAAAGTAAGGACTTTTTATCGAGAATTATTAGTTTTTCTTTTTATTTTCGAATTGAGTTTGAAAACTGAAGTAATACATTAACCAGCAGTGTAACTTAATTAGCTGATGGATTAATGATAAAGAAGTAAAAGTCTGTAATATCATTTCAATCATACATTCTACACAGACAGTGTTCTTATAAGCATAGTTGCCCAACAATAGGCAGCCATCATTATTATCCCCATCAAGTATAGCCTTCCATTTATGTTGTATTTATACTTTTCCTCCTCCATGATATCTTGACAGGACTCACGTAAAACTTTCCAAGTCTATATCGAGGTGAAAAACGTCATCGTGATGCAGGACTCGTGGCGTGTTGTAATTATATTGATGTCACTAGACGTGTAATGAGCAACGCTTGTCGACTGTAGTCACCACAAATTTGTGTCGCAATACCCACTCGTTTTCTTTAACGACACTTAATCATGATTGATATTCGGAACTTTGTTCAAAGTTCTCAAGTTGCTTATATTTTTATCAATTTATTAAGACATATCAACGTGTTGCTGTATCGTACAACAAAAGAAATAATGAAACAACTATCTTACAAAGTACCTTATCCTCTTGACATTTTAGAAGGGCCGTGCGTTCGTCGTACTCTTCGAACAGTCGCAAGGAGTCACACAGACGCAGCGTGTCGGCAGGCCGCACACATCCGCGGTGACCGGGTCAGGCCCATTCTAGAAGCCCCATTGATATTTCGCTGTGCGGTTTCATTGATGGGACTTGCATTGTTCTTGTGTGTCGGCACAAGCCAGACCATTTAGAAAATTGTTGTTTTGTGTAGCCTTCCATAGACTGAGAAAATATAGAATATATTTTATGAATTGTTGTAGCCAATTCAATGTATATGTTAACACTGAATATTGAATTGAATTGCCTTGTAAGACATATTACCACAAAGATGGAAAAAGCTTTTTGAAACGTTAGTTTCTTATCCAACAAGATGGTTATTGCTTGTCAGATTGCCCACGTCGTCTATTTAGGATCTGCAACATGTTGTACACAACTTTATGAAAATTGTTATGAACACGATTATTATTTCGATCTGAAATGTAGGTCGATCTCGAATAATATGTTTTATGTTGTTCAATGTCAAATGTTGTGTGATAATATTCCCGCAAAATATTGTTTACTTTCCGATTATCTGATATATGAATTCACGTAACCTTCGGCTTAACCAACCTTGTACGTCTTATTTATCGTCCGTCCTTCGGTCTATAAATACACGGCGCAGCTTCCCATATTTTCCAGCGACTGATAATACGATTTCCTAGCCGGATCCAATGTCGTTAGCGACAAGCCCGGGCTGGGTGCACCGAGGCCACCAGAGGGGCGAGGGGTACTTGTGACCTAATTCCGTGCTTGCACAACCTGTTCTATTTTCCCTATGACGTCAACAGCCCCATTCAACCCGGGTTGCTGAATCGATGCGCCCCAAACTGGGTCGACCTGAATGAACCACTTGTACATTCAACATGGGCTCGCTATTTTTAGCTCCGAAGGTGTCTCGATTGGGTCTCGTTCCGAACCAGTTTTTACGGATGTATTGGTAGGCCGCAATTAAATTCTGCAATTTTTAAATTAATTGTGACGTTGGATGAGTTTTATAATTTGGTTTCAATTAACTTTTTTTCCAAGAAATTTATTTATGATAAGTATCTATAATCATCTCAACATGTTTTAATATAAATAATGGGTATTTTGCCAACTGTTTGTCGTTGATGTAGGAGGTATATTATTATAAAAATGACATCAAAAGATCGTAGAAGTCAATCATGCCCAACGTTGACTACTTCTGATATTCACGATGGATAAATTGCCTGTGGAAGTGGTTCACCAAAGTAAAAATGGCGATATGTTTAACATATTTTTATTTTGTTACAGATATCTCGTGCCAGTATTGACGCGTGTAAGGACTACTTCCGCGAAGACCTCATCAAGACGGACTGGCAGCTGATGGTCGAACTGAAGAAACTCTTCCAGATATTGTAACCCACCTACCACTTGCAGTGTCCCCACACGGTGAAGCTCTCCAATTATTATTACTTACGACGTAGATACGTTTCGTCAAAGCTTTGTCTGTTCCATCTACCCCTAGTCCCTTCTCCATTGTATCATAGAATCTCACCACAGCTACAATTTGTTATCATTTTTTTATATACTAACTTGATTTTATTGAAAACTGTTATAACTTTATTGGTGGGAAAATGCGAATGTCAATGTCACGGCTGAGCTGCTTGTATTTTATTTTATCTTATCTGATGTTTTACCTACTGCCACGTCTTGTAACTACCGATGTATTATGAATGGCAAAATTGTCGAATATCTCATACTTCGAGACACATTGTAAATAGTATTATACATGTTTATTTATTTATTATCAACACCACACGTGTTTGGTATGATTTGGTTGGACCGAAAGGATTATAAGAAGCTGGTTGTTTTATAAATTTACCGTTATATCTTCAGTTCTTGTTGAAGATTGATCCTTTGTAAATAAAATGTTCACATGAGTTATTTACAATAAAATTTTGTAGTTTTATGTAAATAAAATATAATGAGAAATCTTTGCATGTCTTAATTATAACGTGAAGTAGTGCAATAAACGATCTCGTGTCATTTTCTTGAGGCAATACCTTCGTGCGGTGCTTCTGGGTGTAGATAATAAAAATGTTTTATTCCCTGTCTTACTAAATATAAGTAGTTCCAATGTTCTCTCCATTAGGGGCACTGTCTGCCTGTTCGTCAGAAAGGAGGTCGTCTATTGTACAAAATGTTTATTTTCGTTGAAAATTGAATGCGGTTTGGAATATTTTCCTCGTATGTAGTACATACAGGGATTGAGTACTGAACTTGATGGTAATCGGAATAGATGTCCATGGAGGTTGTATTTTATACGTAGGTATTTTCCCTTTTTGAAACGCTTTGTATTATATAGATGGAATCGGACATATTCTTATATTGAAGAACTTTTATTAAATTACAAAGTAACTTTGCTTGTCTTATTTACCCTCGAAATTATGTTATGAATAAAATTATTTTTTTTTAATTTCTTTATAACCAAATCAAAGTACGCGAAGCAGTATAAGTTATTAAAACATTTTTATGGAACATGTCGGCAAACTCCCGACATATCACTTAATGGTAAGCAATCAGCACGACTTATGGACACCCGCAACAACAAAGGAAGGACTGATTCAAGTGCGTTGCTGGACTTTTGTGGGTTGCTAAGGATTTTAGAATTGGGGATGGAGAATCACGAAATTGGGCCACCGGTAACCTCATTCACACGGTGAAGCACAATGCTAGCGTGATTTCACGCCAGAATTCTGTGTGGCCGTGGTCTGTGTTTACAAACAGTTGAATCTATTTTGAAGTTGTCTGTTGCGTTATTTTGATAAGGTCAAATTGAAATACTTAGTAGAAATGTATAACAACTTAAATACATTGAAATGAAGCTCAAACACGGTAAGTGACAAGCTAATAGATGAGTGTGGAATTGTCGGTATTGCACTTTATAAAAGTGATGCCAACCTATTTCGATGAGATGAGATGCCAGAGTTGTTGGTCAAGCGGAATAACGAATTGCGTCCCCGGCCTGGAGCAGGAGAAAGAACGGAGTGAGATAGTTGAGTTAGACTCTGGCACTCTCTCACTCACTCACTCTCAGTTTCAGGAAGGCATTCAAAAAATTACGGCTACCGAATGGTCTAAATGTGTATCCCATGTTTTCAAAGAAGAGGAAAAAATGAGTAAGCTAGATATGTTAATTGACAATAAATATCAAAGACACAATTCATAATAAATGTTACATAGAGTAAAGGCGATAGCGATAGCGATGACGGCGACAATTTATAAAATGTCTGTTTTATTTGTCACGTTCCTTCATGATCACATTTTTTATTAATTCCACGTACAATTACAAAAGAAAAGTCTCAGATCGTTAATTAATTGTCAAAACTAAATTATCGGTTCAGAAATATTTTATTTCCTGATAAACTTAGTTTACGAGAGTAAATTTATAAACGAGAGGAATCGATGCAGAAATATTCGATTTCCATATCGAATAATTTCGCAACGTCACTATTTATTATGTGTCATAACGTTGCAACACTGAAATTGTCAAATCTGGAATGGAATTAAAATTCCGAGTATAGTCTACATGCATTCTGCTTATCATGAGCATCCATCCGCTGCTGGATATAATCCGCTACTGGACTGTGTCTGCAATATTACGCCAACATAGATGAACCTTCCTCTTTTCGTATTGAACCATTAGGTACTAGCCAATTCTCTTCTACACTATACTAGCTGTAAGTATGAACATTTGCCTTAAGTCTGAAGCACGTCTGTCAAGCAGAGTATAGACAAAAAGGTACTTCCCAGGCTGACAGTAAATATTGTATAAATGACGATTTTTTTATAAGTATAGAAATTTCGCGATGTCTTAGATTGGTTGATGGTTCCAAGGAACCATGAGGCTAAGACACCGCGAAGCATCACTTTTACAACGACTCACAGAGTAGTTTGACGATACTTTATCTATTAGCCAAATAGTAGATAGGTAGGTACGGAATAAAAGCTACGTGTCGGAGAGTCATGCTTCAGGATGTATGGGTCGGCTCACGGCTCGACCAGTGTTAGCACGGCGCCACAGAAAACTCGAGAGGTGCTTGCGTTGTGTTTTGCCGTGTAAGTGAGGTTATTAGGTATATGCCCAATTCCAACAATTCTCAGATTCGTAATCCTTAAAAGGCCGGCAACGCATTTTCTCTGGCGTTGCAGGTGTTCATGGGCGTCGCTAATTTCATTTCAGGTACCGACGGGTGATGAAGCTTGCTGCGTATCACATAAAATTGTATCAATACTCAAAAACATACTATAGGCGATAAGTACCTACACTTTTTGGAATCGCCACAAAGTTCTGCCATGCTGTCGTCTGCATCCTTTAAGCTTAGGATATGTAGCTAATAAGTCTATTTGATTTGGCTTGAGTAGCTAGGAGTACAAATAATGAATTTACTTTAATCCCAGCCACATTCTTATTTATTCATAAATGTGTAGAGACAAGTCTATTTTAGACCGCGTATATTCAAGGAGCCTTGCCATTTATTGTGAGTTAGGTACTAAAAAGCACCTCAATCGTCTCAGTAAGTTTAATATACTTACATTTCGTAGCCTAGACACTAATTTGTAAGCCAGTTGTTATACTAAAAAATATCAGACCGCGAAGACATAAGGAAAATAGGGCACTAACCAAAATACGTTTACCTAAAAACATGTGACGATCCGTTTTCCTTTTTTTAAAAACGTTACCCATGCTAGGGTTTTCTCCTGTCATGGATGCGTTTACAAACAAACAATGTCACAAAAACGTCATACCAAAATCCGGAACAACAATTTGTGATTCACACAAAGGGTGGGTCTGTGCAAGAATCGAAACCGTGACACGTCGCACGGCAGCCGGTGGCTCAAGCCGTCTCGTCGGTGTGCAGTCGATTTTGGTAAACTATCTAGTTTATTATTAATTTAAAATTGGAACGTCAGGATGTAAAGACGATTATTATAATGGCAAAATACTTTGTTTAATTGCTTACATAACATGCATCTAAGTACCTATGCAATATCAAATTATCTAGGTATATCAGAATATGGATACTTTGGAACGGACGCTCAGTGCACTACCTATAGGTCTTTGTCAACGACATTAATAGGCTGCAATTCGATCTAGGTAGGTCTTGTTTGCCATCAATAATTCACCAAGAAGGTCATCGCTTCTCATTCCATTCCAGGAAACACCAATGCGAGGCTAGCAGCATCGTCAGTTGGGTGGAGCCACCAATGTAGGCACCGGTCTACTTTCTTCGTTGCGTTTCCGTATGACGTATTTTGCATCGACGAAATTTGTCAAACTACAGTCAAACACTAAAGATATTGAGTGGCGAGCAATATGGGGATTTTTATTGCATGTTTTTATTATTGCCCTATTTTCCAAGATGTTTCTAGACGATTTTAGCGGCTTTTACGGAAGATTTTTGAGACGGTATCCATGGAAACGAGGCTCGCGTGGGCGAGGGGGTGTTGTTTTCAGGGTCTAGGTCACGCCCAGGAGCGCGGGGCGCATGCGCGGGCCCAGCAGCTCCCGTTCAGGAACTGTCCCGTTCAAAGCTCATCGGACTTCCTTATGGTAGGAACATCGGTTTCGCGCGCTGTCCGCCTGCCCCCTGGACACGGTGAAGTGAAGTGTGTCAACTAGGTATTTCAAATAGTGATATCAGTGATTTAAGTGATATAAGTGAAATTTACAATTCAACAACAATTAATAATTACGTAAGTACCTGTTGGTATATTATTTTTGAAACGTAAATTCCAAAAATAATGCATGTAGGCGTGTGTGTAGGTGGTATATATCTGTGTTGTAGCTACCTGAAATAATGGTATTTTATAAGAAATAAGCGCTGATATACAAAATCCAAACTTAGGCCTAAAAACCCGTCGCAATACCAATGTTAATGTTTTGTTTTTATTATTTCAAAGTACTCAGTACCAAATACTAACATCCAATTAGGAATAGGACCCAATAGATAGATATAGAACTTAGACCTGATATACTTTGTTAACATTGACAAGAAAACATACTTAGAAAAGTATACACATACCTAGGTAAACTTAGATAATAGCCATATTAGAATACTTCGAAAAGCTATCCACTAAATACTACAATAAAATATATATAAAACATAGCGATTCTTCAATCAACATTGACAGAATATTCCACAGTAGGTAATCACGAGTTCATGTAAATTGTACATTCATTCTGCACAGTACCAACAATTGGCATACTTTGTATTAAAATACGTTAATAATGTTACCTACTTTTTAATTTTTACTATGTCACCTTCCCATAATACCTAACAGTTATTACGAAGTTCAATTCATAAATAATGTTATTGGTAAGTAAGTAGGTACCTACAGATAAGACATATTTATTTTTAACAAAAGATCACGTGCTTTTTGTTAATTTATTTAAATTTCGTTTGATATTTAAATCACCCGTCTGTCGTTACTATGATTTCCTTCTAGCTAATTTTTTCCCAAGAGAAAATCTCAATTGGTTTAAAATTAGCTTTCCCTGTCAGTTATTCGAGAGCTCACGCGTAGCACTAAAACGAGTCTGTTGTACAGTCTAGCCGTGAGGTAGGCTCAGCAGTTTTCTTGTGTTACTGTGCTGCTAGACGACAGTTTCAGTAATTTTTTTCGGCCACGTGCTAAACGTCGTTCATTCATGCGTGCGAATGAATGGGGAGCGTTGAGTGTTTGCGAGCTGAAACAGTCGGCCGCCGAACGCCCGCGCGCTCCACGCGGCGCAGGCGCCCGCGCAACGCGAGTGACACTCCACACACGAACAAACCGTGCTACTGCTTACCACCAGCACAC